CTTAGAACATAGTACTAAACATCACAATAAGATTCATTAAAGTACAATTCTACCTGTTATTGAACAGACTAGAAGTCCCTTTTGCCCAACCCTCATGTTAGAAATCAAGATAAGCAACGTTCATGGGATCCTGACAGTTACTACATAAAATGAGAACATTTATTTATATTTGGGCAATTTAAGTTCATCTCCAAAATACCTCCTTTTTTTGGTCCCATGAAATGTATTTCGTTGTTAAGTGTGTACAGCTTCCTTAACTTATGTGAACTCATCAGAATTACTCGAGTGCTTACCATAAAATTCCCCAAGGAGTATGTTACTTAGTGCAATCTTTGAATTTCTATACTCTGACCTTTTCTAGCACTGATACATGCATATGTGTCAGAAAAGAAACAAGTACCTCAACACAACACTGCAACCAATGCAATTCTTAAAGCTTAATTTCATTGTAGTGATATACAGCTAGTCTATAGCAAACTGATACATAAAGGTTTATATTCATGACACTGACTAGCACATGTTTAACACCTAGGAGATTCTTTCTAGACTGATACCGCCAACAAATAAAGAAGGTACAGTACTACAAGAATACTGAGGAGGTTCTTCAGAATGAAAATCCATAGTTACTTTTAATCAGTGTTTATATTACAATTATTTTTTATATGGTACGGTCAGATATGCCTAGATATTAAATTTAATTTCCTCAATTTATACTTTACCCATGGAATCACCAACAGAGTGTAAGATGAGAGATTTTAATCTTTAGCAATTATCTAAATACTGACTCAATTCTACTAATATCTATTAGTCCTATCAACTGTCCTGGGTTTCAGACAAAACACAAGTTAATAGGTTTGTGCTTCTGCTTTGTTCAAGGTCTTAATATTTCAGCTATGTAATTCCCTCTTGACCCAAAGTCATTACATCAATGTAATCTCTAAATTGAGCCCACTATTGTCTGTGAAATTGCTAAAAATTTTAAGTTTCATTTTACATTAAGATTTATTTTGGAAGATTTTTAAAAATAAAAATCTTCTAGTGTTTAAACCTTCCATTCTATCAACACCTTCCTGTTTTCACTACAATTAGTGTGCAATAAACACCTCAAGATGCATTATATGCTAACCTACCCAATAAAAATGTACTATACATGGTACTAGAGGGACTGAAATCACAGTAAAATAAAGCAAATTTATTGTCTCTCCAAGAGACTTTTTAGATTATAAAGGGTCTACCTTGATCACTAAAAAGATACCCTGAGTATTTCATTACTTCATACTTGCAGGCTTTTCTGCTGATCTGCTACCAATTTGAGAATATGTGAAGTACTTATTATATGTTCCTATTAAGAACAGAATTATTTAAAAGTCTTACTTTTCTACAAGGCTGACATAACTGTCCACTTACAGGATACGGGATTCTCCCACACTTAATGCCCACTAATAAAAAAAAATAGGAAAAAAAAAAGTTCTTACCAACAATTCCACTGGTTATCGTCCCCAGCGAACCCCACCTAGCAAGTCGACATCATGACATGTCAGGTCAGGGCAGCCTCAACCTCGCTTCCCTGATAGTCAGGTGATAAAAGGAAGGAGTTAAAACAGGAAAAGTATACTTGCAGATTTCTGGATAACATCTGAAAATGATTAAAAAACAAATACAAAACCAAACCAAACCAGAGCTTCTGGTAACCTCTAAATAAAAAAATATATACATATATATGTATTTAAAAAGAAAAAAACCTTTTCTAGTAAGATTAACAGTAACTACTTCAAATTAAATATTTACATTACTGGCCAATATATTAAATACGCAATATTTTTAAACCTTGGTGTTTCCATTTCAAAAGCAAGACCTAATCAACAATCTTCTAACGTAAACATATCTGGTTAAAGGATTTGTTATTCTGGATTCTCCAGTCATCCAATCCACTGGTTTACTGAGAACACTACCCCTAAGTTAACAGAAGCTCCCATTCTTAGAGAAACATAAACACACTTATAAATCCAGTGCACTCTTTCTATAAGGCTTTTTCTTAGCTGCTCTCTTGAGACTCCAAATAATAAAGGACAACACTCACATTAACTTCAGCTGGTTTTCTTTAAGAATACTGGATAGCTTAATGTAATAAAATTCTCCTTGGAAAATCAAAACAGCAAATTTTAACAAATTTAGTAATCTGTATAAATGACAATAGCCTTATAGCAAGTATTTACTGGAAGGGTTTGGTTTTACAAATAATACACAATTAATAAAACGTAGGTATGATTATATTCAATGGGCAGGAAGCAAATGATATAATGAGTTTCAAGAATATTATATGACTTTATGCTAGGAGTGGAATTTTATGTCTCTTCTTTTGGAATTTAAAATATGTAATTTGTTTTGATGCATGCTGACCTTTTTAAAAAGAGGGTTCACCTCCTAAATCAGATTTCAGTCAAGTGAGAGAAAAATTATCTACTAACAGAAAGCATTGGGCTTTCTTATGCAGAATAACCCCAGTACTTAAGAAAACTGAACAAGTATTATACTGAATTCCTTTAACTACAGAACATAACTCATTTTACATATCTTTTGATCAAATAAACCTGGATTTATCAGAAATCTGGCAACTTATTAGAACTTTTTTGCTTTTAAAAGATTAAAACACCTTCATATGAATACATACATTTAAGCAACTGCTATAAATGAGTGATCAAATAAAAATTAGCATTCCATTATCTAAAAGGGGTATATTTGTCAATCTCAGGCAGATACCTATAAAAAAGAGGTCTACCACAATATAAATATATTTCCCAACACACTTTACTGAAACAGGCTCCTAAATAAAGCCAAATCAATTCAGCTGGGGAACAAAAAAATACAATGGCAGAAAACCAAATTCCTCAGAGTTCGTAATTTTTGTGTATTAAAAAAAAAACTAAGGCAAATCTATAATAAAGAACTCCCTCAATTGATATTTTTCAGGTTTAGATTTATTTCTGTGAAAAGATGAGTTCTGAATCTATTTTCTGAATGCTGCTACAGTGATAATTTATAAGACATCAAGGAAGAACAGCTCTAAAGTGGGATTTAATGTTAATAGGGTTATGCTTTTTGGCTAAATAGCCACAAAAACCTATAAAGCAAATATCAGAGGGACACCTCTGTAGATATATTTTCAGCTGGTAAGAGGAACAAAGGAGATGGCCACTTTAAAGTCAAAATATAATCTGTGATTAAAGGAAAGGATTTTGACATGGAAACCAGGTTTTATTCTTTTGTTTTTGCTAGGGTTTATATTTCAGGATGGATGAGGGAAACACAGTAAATTACTTTTTCAGAATCACTTCTATTCCCATCCCCAATTTTCTTTATGACAACTTTGTAGCTTATAACATGTAATTTTAAGAAATACAAGCAACCCAAATTTTATCTGTAGATTTTGTTCAAAAAAAAAAAAAAAAAATCAAGTTTTTATTTAAGTCTAATTTAGATGTATAGTTACAGCTTCAAATTATATTTTCAAAGTTTAAAAGCAGCATTTAAAGAATGTTTGGTGTCTTTACTTGTATACAAGGGTGTTAAGAAAAACAACTGAATAAAGCCTTACCAAATAAATACTCATGATAACTCAAAACTTCTATACAACAGACCATAATTCCTTCATCAGTTTCCAAAATTATAAAAGGAACATTAAGAAAGGCCTGTTAAGTTACCATACTCTGTAATGAGTATACTTTCAAAAAGAAATGAAATACATGGATTTTCATCAGCAAATATTAGTTTTCTTATTTGAAATGGAGAAGCCATGAAATCCAAAATATGGTCTAACCAAGCTCACAAGGAATTAAATGGCTCATGATTTTGAAATCTAATATTGCTATCACAAAAGACACCAAACAGGAACAAAACACAAAATAATGGAGTGTCCATTTTAATTATTCGCTAATGGCTTATATTTTTATCACTATATAAACTTTTTTTTTTTTTTTTTTTTAAAAAGATGACCGGTAAGGGGATCTCAACCCTTGGCTTGGTGTTGTCAGCACCACGCTCAGCCAGTGAGCAAACCGGCCATCCCTATATAGGATCCGAACCCGCGGCCTTGGTGTTATCAGCACCGCACTCTACCAAGTGAGCCACGGGCCGGCCCACTATATAAACATTTTAGAACCACCTAAGAATGAAATGGAAGGGAAAATTTGATAGTAACTTGAAAGTGATCCAGACTTTTCTGTACTGTAAAGTTTGGATTCTTTTGTTCCTCTCATCCTCAAGCAAAAAAGTCATTAAAATAAATTGGAATTTCTAAAGGAAACAGATGTTATAACTTGGCCAACAAAAAACTTAGCCATTAGAGATAGTGAAAAAATAAAAATAAAAGATGTGTTAACAGAAAGAAAGTTAGAGATATGACTACTAGATACTTTTAAGCCTCTCTTACAAGGCATGAGTGTTTCTCAAAGCAAATTTACGTAGCAAGAGAAAATTATACTCCTAAACCTATAACTGAAGTGTAGTCACATGTATACTAAAACTGAAGTCCGCAGTGCAACTGACGCCACAGTACTAACAGTTTTCCCTGTACGTACATTCATTTATGCAACAAATAAGGTCTTCAGCCACAAATTATCCTTTATAGAAAGAATGTGGGTCAAAATAAATTGCAGTCTGCTTCCCCAGCCCCATTTTACTTGTTTTAATACAAATTATCCAATGCCTGCAAGAATGTTCAAAAGCCTTTGAACCTTTTAAAAAAATAAATAAATAAATAAGGGATAAAATTTCAAAATTAGAAGAGACTATGAAAAAACACCAATCAATTAAGTGCTATTTGGAATAAATATTGAATTTAGACTAATCTTCATTTTCATATCCAGAATACATGTAGGACTAGACAAGAAATTTTGCATGAATTTGATCACTCACATAGGCAGTTATACTTTGAAAATAATATTCCTTGCAAGGATTACGAATAAAATAATGTTTTAGGACACAATTGAATTTGAAATAGGTAATGTTTTGAATAGATTTTTGAGTTTTATTGAAATCTTACATGAACAAGAAATTGGAAATACAATCACATCAAAGAACAAATTGTCACGGCTTTGACGTTTAAGCCAAACAAATTTTGTAGGGCAGTTTCAAAAAGGTGTGAAGTTATAACAATTTAAAAACACAGTTAACCTACTTCTAGGAATGCAAAACATACAATCATAGGTTATTTTCAATACAAGAAAACTTAAATTTGTTTGCTTTAATTTCTTAAAACTACTAAGACAAAGCACTAGCTTGTATTTTTATTTACAGCATACTCCATACTCCTATGTAATCTATCCCAAATTCAAAAAACTGAAACTGTCCGAAACCAAAGATTCTGCAAAATCATGATTTAACATTGTGCCCAGCTTGTTTTGAAGCTAAAATGAAGCCTGAAACGATAAAAGCATTGTAAACCCCAGAATAAGGGAACTCTGCAAGCCCAGTAATGTCCAAGAGCATTTACGAAAAGAGGAAAAATAAAAAGACTTGAGTATATACACAATAGTGATTTCTTCAGCCCAATACAAATGGCAGCAAACTGCTACTTAAAGATGAAACAGTTAAGCCAATTTTTTTTTTTGAAGAATGTAGATCTAGAGCCAATCGTATCTTGCCAATATCATTTTCAAGCCCTCACTTGTCTATTTCCACTGTTGCCCATAAGTATCCTGATAAAATTCCTGGTTGTCATTATTGTAACCATAGTTACCAGAATAGTCACCACCTTGCTGAAGCGGCTGCTGAGCGATGGGTTGGGAACCCCAGTTCTGTTGGTTGTTGGTCTGACGACGCTTGGAATCAGGTTGGTTGTACCCATCTGCCTTTCTCTTGCCTCCTACATTGCCCCCACGATTGCCCCGAGCTCCACGGGAACCACGGCCTCTCTGCTGTTGGGCAGGACCCCCTCTGCCACCCCTAGAGCCTCTTGGTGGTCCCAAAGGTGCCCCCCTCTGTGAATAGCCAGCTCTACCTCTTGGAGGTGGTGCTCCCCGCCCCCTTGGTGGTGGTGGAGCACCTCGCCCTCCCCTTCCTCCTCCTCTTCCTCTTACTGCATAGCCATCATCATAGCCGTAGTAGGGATCTTCATAGCCTCCACGATAGTCGTGATAATCATAACCATAGTAATCATCATAGTAATCTTCATAGCCATAGTAATCTGGAGGGTAGCCATATCCACCTCTCCCCCCACCACGACCCCGACCTCTAATTGGAGGTGGCATGCGAGGAGGAGGGTGATAGTAATAATCTTCATACCTAGCAATGGAGGGAAGGGAGAAAAGAAAAAAATTAGTTTACTTCAAAACTCTTCCGGATTTTGTCTTATTAACCTGATCTCCGTTATCAAGTTATTTACTCTTTTTTTGTTTTGTTTTGTTTTGTTTTTTGATGGCTGGCTGGTACGGGCATCAGAACCCATGACCTTGATGTTACAAGGCTGTGTTCTAACTAACTTATTAGCTAACCAGCCAGCCTTCAAGTTATTTATTTTTGTTCAAAGTTGTATCTATTAAAATGCAGACTCACGCAGTGCTTCTGGAGGCCTGTCTAGCAGCTTGACGCTCTTTCCTTTTCTTGTCTGGTGGCTTGGCTAAGACTATTTCAATTTCTTCCCCTTCTATTTCTTTGCCATTCATTTCATCCATAGCCTATACAAAATTAGAAAAATAACTTTATTTTACAAGTAACAGTATTTTATTTTATTTATTTTTATTTTATTATTATTATTTTTTTGTCTTTTCCTGACCGGTAAGGGGATCACAACCCTTGGCTTGGTGTCGCCCGCACCACGCTCAGCCAGTGAGCGCACTGGCCATCCCTATATAGGATCCGAACCCGCGGCGGGAGCGCCGCTGCGCTCCCAGGGCAGCACTCTCCCGAGTGCACCACAGGGCCGGCCCATAACAGTATTTTAAAACAGAACACAAATTATCATTTGATATACCTAATAAACAATTTACTTCACAATTATTTTAATTTGCCAAAGATGAATCTAGCCAGAAAGTAAAAATAAAAGAACACACAAAAAGTAACTTCTCTCTTAACCTTATCATCTTATATGTAAACTACTTTGATAATAAAATTGGTGTCCTGCTATTATATTTTAAAATTTAAAAGAGCTGCCTATCGTGGGTCCTTAATTCTAAATAGCTAAGTTCTTAAAGCTTAGCCATACCAAAAATACAAGTCCATATCAAGGGAAAATGCCAGTATTTATACAAACAACACAAAAATTACTTAACTTTTCAGGATTCATATCTTTCTTTTTTTGGTCAGACCCAACAGCCTCTTTCATTCTTGTCAAGGGGAGTGCTAACCTCTCCTTTCATACAACCTCAGGATTCGTATTTTTAAATAAACATGTAGCATTTAACATACAGTTCTTGGGGGCTGTCTGGTTAGCTCAGTTGGTTAGAACATGGTGCTGACAACACCAAGGTCCAGGGTTCGATCCTGTACTGGCCAGCCACTGCCCCACCTCCTAAAAAATACAGGTCTTACACAGTTCTTACACAAAAATTTCAAGGATTTGAAACACAAATGAGGTTATCAGTGAAATTCAACACGATACTGACAAAAAAACCCCTGCAACCCTTAACCTGGAACATACGTGGGTACTTCAAGAAGTTCATGGAAGGGCCGGCCTGGTGGCGCACTGCTACAGTGCGCTGCTTGGGAAGCGCGGCGGTACTCCCGCCGAGGGTTCGGATCCCACATACAGACCGGCCGCTCACTGGCTGAGCGAGGTGCGGGAGCAACACCGAGGGTTGCGATCCCGTTGCTGGTCCCGGTCCGGTACGGGCACGACACTGAGGGTTGCGATCCGTTGCCGGTCACGAAAAAAAGACAAAAAGGAAAAAAAAAAAAAAGAAGTTCATGGAAAAATAGAATTAAAAGATAATATGAATCTTGCCATGAACTTTTGGAAGTGGCCTCATACTTTGCCTGAATAATTAAAAGCACAGAGCCCAGAAAAGGCCTGGACTAACGAAGACTCAAGCAATCTCCTAGAACGCAGTAATCAAGCATTCCATATTCTAGTCCTTTACTCATGCTGTTCCACCTAACAACCTGTGCCACACACATATTTCAAGGTTCAGGTACTCAGTAACAAAATGTCCCCTCCTCACCATATTGTTTCCCTATACAACCTTTATCCCCTCTGGGCACACAAAATAAAATGCTCTCTTCATGAAGAGCCTTCAGTGATTTATAAGTATCTAGACAAAAAATAGACTTCTTTTAGATTTCAATGTTCCCCATTTACTACTTCACCTTTGGACTGCTTCAGCTAAAGCAACTAAACAAGTCTACAAAAGTTTGCTAGTATAAATAAAAGAATGGAATATCTACTCTGCCCTGATGATCCTGGAGTTGACTTCCAGTTCCTGGACTAGAAATTCTGTAATTTCTCTTTTTTTGCTTGTTTTATTTTTGGCAGCTGGCCAGTAAGGGGATCTGAACCCTTGACCTTGGTGTTATCAACAACATGCTCTAACCAAGTAAGCTAACCGCCAGCCTGAAATTCTATAATTTCATAACCTTATTTGGTAAACCATCCTACCCATTCTTATAAATATTTTATTTTATTTATTTATTTTTTCCTTTTTGTCTTTTTTACTGACCGGTAATGGGATCGCAACCCTCGGTGTCACGCCCGCACCGGGGACCGGCAACGGGATTGCAACCCTCGGTGTTGCGCCCGCACCGTGCTCAGCCAGTGAGCGGGAACCGGTCTCCACATGGGATCCGAACCCTCCACCTGGGATCCGAACCCTCGGCAGGAGCGCCGCCACGCTCCCAAGCGGCGCACTCTCCAGTGCGCCACCAGGCCGGCCCTAAATATTTTAAATAAGGAAAACCAGTTATTTAATACCAACTGAATCAAAAGGAATATTTAGAATGTATAACGTTATTAGTTATCTGTGTTCTATACCATTGGAAATTTCAGAAGCCAAACATTAAATTCTGTACTAAAGTGTGAATTTTATGAATAATACAGCCTCACTAATTAGCTTCCATCAACAAACAAACCAATTAATTCTATACCAGTCAAACTATGATCAAGGAGTAAATCAACTATTATGTACAAGAAATATCTCTAGGCCAGCCCAGTGGCGCACTGGAGAGTGTGCTGCTTGGGAGCACGGCAAAGCTCCCGCCGAGGGTTCGGATCCCATGTGGAGACTGGTTCCCGCTCACTGGCTGAGCGAGGTGCGGGCGCAACACCGAGGTTTGCGATCCCGTTGCTGGTCCCCGGTATGGGCACGACACCAAGGGTTGCAATCCCGTTACCGGTCAGTAAAAAAGACAAAAAGGAAAAAAAAAAAAAAAAAAGAAATATCTCTAACAATTACTTAAATTAAGCAAAACACAATCAATGCAATTCTAACTCTAAAATGAATAAATAAAGGCAAAACTATGAAGAACTAACCACACCATTACAACACATCTATTGAATTAAATATGCTATACTTATATGTAAAGTCATGTACCACTCAGTTTCTTTCATAGGTTCACAAAACTGAGGTAAGGGCTGGCCAGTTAGGTCAGTTGGTTAGACCACAGTGTTACAACATCAAGGCCAAGGGTTCGGATCCCCTAACCCACCAGCCGCACCCCCCCCCCAACATTTCTTGGAAAAATGGAATTAAAAGATAATGCGTACGGGCCAGCTGTCCCCCCACCCTGCCCCAATCAAAAAAACAATAACAATACAAAACTGAGATAAAAAGAGTAGCTATAATACATTCACTATCTATTTATTTATTATTTATGACGACTAATTAGTATACCTTGTAATATTTACAAGGCATCATGCTATCAAACCTTAGGCTTACAAAATAGAGATAAAAAATAACTTGCCTAAGGGCCGGCCAGTGGCTCACTCGGTAGAGTGCGGTGCTGATAACACCAAGGCCATGGGTTCGGATCCTATAGAGGGATGGCCGGTTTGCTCACTAGCTGAGCGTGGTGCTGACAACACCAAGCCAAGGGTTGAGATCCCCTTACCGGTCATCTTAAAAAAAATAAAATAAAAAAATAAAAACTTGCCTAAGTTCACAACCTCAATAATAATCTGGCTTTGAAATATAGTCTTAACCTGTTATACTTCTACCATTTTACAGAGATGAAAATTCCAAAGCTTAGCAAAAGCCAAAAACCAATTTTATTTCAGTTTTTTTTTAATTGAAACATAGTTGATTGTACATCTGTGAAGTACAGCACTGAATATCAATACTTGTGTGCAATATGTGATGTTCAAATCACAATAATTAGTATATTCAACATTATACAATGTAATTGATTTTCGTGACCCTTTACCAATTCCTCCCTAACCCCCCACCCCTGCCCCCTTTCTCACCTCTAGCAACCTCAGTTCTGTTATCTTTTTTTGAAAGTTCAATGCATTATTGTGATTGTTATTTATTTTTTAGTCCCACTTATAAGTGAGGATTTATTTCAATTTTTAAAGTCACTTTATGTGTTTAACAAATTTCAACAACAAAATTCAAGTATCAAGAAGCAAAATCTCAAAATTTCTACCTTAACAGCTGCTCCTCTGTCTTCAAAATGAACAAATGCATAATCTTTCAACTTCTTCACTCTTTCAAGTTTTCCAAATTCAGAAAATGACTTTTCCAATATTTCTTCTGTCACTGTAGTAGCCAAGTTTCTCACAAATAAAACTTTCACCTAAGAGCAACAAATACACAAATTTGGCATTGGCTTACTTAATTTTGGCTGAAGTCTTATACTTAAGTATTTCTTCCTGTTTTCATGGCATAAGCTTTCCTTCTCTAAAACACTCAGTGCTAAAAGTTCTGTCATAGGTAGTATGAGAATCTGCCGAGAAAATGATTCTGATATTAGTTGCCAATTTATATAAATTGTTGGTTCCTGTCTTCTCTCACCCTGTCATTAAAGAACCTAGCACTGTGAATAGAACCTTCAAGGAACCAACACATAATTATTACTAGGTTGATTCATAAATTAACATGGTCCTTAAGTACCCCCTCCCCAAACAACAAGTTTTTCTGTTTTGTTTTGTTTTTTTCCCCTTAGAACTGGATAACCTTCCAAAGTTCATATGAAAAAATAAACAAGAAAGAACAGCCAGGAAAAAAATAAGAGCAAAATTTAGAGACTAGCCCTGTTGGATATAAACAAACTATAATGCTTAAATGACTGAATCAGCATAGTGTTAATCAGAAAAAAAGATAAAAGTTGGACCATATCTCACACTATATACCAGGATAAACTCCAAATAGATAAAAATTTTAAATAATGAAAGGAAGGGGGGTGGGAGGAAGCTATGAAAATATTAGAAGAAAATAAGGGTGACTCCTTTTATCCAATACTGGAGTGGGGATGGCCTTGTGACTTAAAATTTACAAGTCATGAAAGATTGATATATTCAATTACTAAAAATCAATTTCTACAAGGCAAAAAATACCATAAAACAACGTCAAAAGACAAATGATAAATAGGGAACAAACACTTGCAACTTATATCACAAAGATATATATCAGAGCACCAGAAAATAAGAAAAAGCTCAACAACTGAAAAGAAAAACAGGCAAAATTTATGAATGTGTGGTTCAGACAAAGAAACACATATGGTCCTCAAAACATATTTAAAGCTCAAATAGTAAGAGAAGCAAATCATTAACAGCATTGAAATACCATCTGTTATCAGACTGGCAAAATCCAAAAGTTTGATCATACACTATTTCGTCAAGGATGAGGAAAATAGACCTCTTGTGTTTTGCTGCTGGGAGTATAAAATGGCACACCTCCTACAGAGGGGGCTGTGGCAATAGTTTAATAATTACAGATGCATTTACCCTTTGCCTACAATTCTACCCTTAAGAATCCATCCTACAGATGTATCTGCACTTGTATCAATTTACATGATACAACCTTATTCATTTACAGTACAAGGTACTTCAAAAAACTCATGGAAAAATGGAATTAAAAGACATACGAATTTCCATGAACTTTTTGAAGTACCCTTATATTATAATAACAAAAGATTGGAAACAACTCGATGTCCAGCTAGCTGAATATACTATGGTATTTCCATAAATGGAATATTACGTAGCCACAAAAAATAAGGAAGAGCTCTGTGAGCTGATATAGAAAAATTGCCAAGATACACTATCAGTGAGACACATTCCCCCCATATTTTTACATCTCCAAAATAGGGATACAACTTACAGTCAATGTGATAAGCAAGCACTGTGCTATAGTGTAACTGGCAGCATTTTATAATATCTCAGTGGTACATATAATATTGGTGTATTTCCCTATAGCTGATGAAACAGGATGGTAAGTAAAGCAAATATACATCAGTGAATACAGTAGGCTACTAGCAACCATTCATGTAAGAACTAAGGAAAATAAGAATATATACTCATGTGTGCCTAAGGAAACACTAAAGGAATAAAATACAGATTACTAAAACTGGATGCTTTATAGGGGAAAGGGACATATAGTAGCCCCGGGGATAGGTGTATAAGTGCGACCTCTCTGTCTATACCTTTCTGTGTAACTTTTGATTTCTGAACAAAAGAAACATCACCTATTCAAACAAAAAATTAACAAGCACACTGAACTAATTGTACTTCAGATAAAGGGCTATAGGAATAAGGATCTGGGGAGAAGACACTGATTCAACAGGAAAAAACTAACATTTTCACCTCTACTTCTTTCCCTTTATTTTTCTCAATGTTGTTATATTGAGGTCTAGCGTCTACATTAGACAGGCCCCCACTGGTTTATTTACTTTTTTTTTTGGTTACCTCAACGCAGATCTTTTATTCTTTTCTGTGATGGAACCATAACATAGTATATAAAAATTACTTGTTGAAATTATGTCTAAAAATGTTCAACAGAGGGCCGGCCCGGTGGTGCACTGGAGAGTACGCCGCTTGGGAGTGCGGTGGCGCTCCCGCCGAGGGTTTGGATCCCATGTGGAGACCGGTTCCCGCTCACTGGCTGAGCGTGGTGCGGGCGCAACACTGAGGGTTGTGATCCTGTTGCCGGTCAGTAAAAAAGACAAAAAGGAAAAAAAAAAAAAGTTCAACAGAAAAAAAGGGTCCCTTTAAGAGAGATACTTATAGGCTCTTAGGTTCTGGTTGATTAGAAAACTGACCCAACTTGGGCCGGCCTGGTGGCACACTGCTACGGTGCGCCGCTTGGGAGTGTGGCAGCGCTCCCGCCGAGGGTTCGGATCCCACATACAGACCGGTTCCCGCTCACTGGCTGAGCGAGGTGCGGGCGCGACACCGAGGGTTGTGGTCCCGTTGCCGGTCCCGGTCCGGTGCGGGCGCGACACTGAGGGTTGGGATCCGTTGCCGGACACGAAAAAAGACAAAAAAAAAAAAAAGAAAACTGACCCAACTTGGCAAAGAATCTTCAGTGAACTTTAACACCGACAGAGTGAACAGCAGAAGCTTTACTCTAATGAATAAACTTTTTCTTTCAATTAGAAAACAATAAAGGAGTCAGTTTATACTTGATCCCCAGTTTATAGAGACCTCCTTCACTCTGAAACCTGTTTTTGATACAGAAAGAATAGTTACTAGTAATAAAATCTCAAGGTTTCTAACCCTAAAAAGAGATTTAGGATGAATTTCCATCTGAAATGTGTACCAGGGGTACGTGAAAAGTGATTGATAAGCAAATTACTAGCTACACTTTAGATTTTCAGGGGTTTTATTCCTCCCTTATAATGTGTAATATATCTATAACGCTAATTTTAAATGTTTGTATAGAAAAAGCAATACAGGCTATGCTTAGTATCTACAGGTAGTTTCAAAGTTGTAGAGGATCTTATAGATTTATCCAAGCTCAATAAAATAGATGACATCCAAGTTCAGTAATTTGTCCAAAGTCATAATTGTATTTGGAGAATAAACAACTGGAAATAAAAATCAAGCTAGGAAAAAATTAAAAATAAGGGCTATTTAGGTCCCCAGTCCCTTTCCTAGACACCCATATACTCAAGGAATATGAGACAAAAGATACTGAGCAGCACTTTTGAGAGCCTCTCTGGTTCATTCTCAATGAATCTTCTCTGCTTAACTCAAAAAGGTTTTTGCCCACAAAGACTTTACCATACTAGTATAAACTGCAATACTTCTCTAAATTAGTCAGAGCGAGGACTTGCTTCTCCAAAATCTGGAATAAAAAAGCTTGTGGGAAAGACTTCTCAGTCAAGAAGAATCCAGCCACTAATTCATGGCCATCCATAGAGTTGCTGCTTCCCCAAGAAGGGAACAGACATAAACAAAATACTCAAGAACTCACTGCAAACAACAGAGACTCTGCAGCAGGGACTCTGATGTGTCCCTTCAATCCTAGGAGTCACCCAAAGGAAAGCCTAAGAACCAGGACTCATGGCACCAGCATTTACCAGGCAAATATCCTAGCAATGCAAGGACAGGGCTTAGGAGGAAACTGAGGGCCCTCCACAGGACTTGCCATGCAAATTTTGCCACTACCATATAACAGCAAACATGACAATCCTATACCTTTCTTCATGGGGACAATACTCTAAGGGAACCTGACCATTAAAAAAAGGAAAGCTTAAAAAAAGAAAAAGAAAAATTAGCTATAAATCTAAATAAAATATAATTCATGGCCATGTGATAAAGTCATACTATGGTCAATGAAGGTTATAATTTATAAACTCTAAAACATTATTTCTCTCTTTACTCATCAAGATCTTGTCTTTTTATTACCTCCGTATCCCTCTTAGTGCCTAACACTAAACAGATATTCAGTGTATATGAAAACACTTAATTGAAGGGATTTCATTTTGGTTCCTTTTGCACATTTAATTGGCAGGAAAGGGGATGGTTAATGAAAATGCCTGAATACCAAGACAGGCTGTTAACTTCAGTGTTAAAGTAGCTCCTTGCCTAAACAGTTAATTAAGGTCAAGAGCTACAATTTGTATTTATCATAAAATTAGAAAAATTTGAGCTTTATTCTGAGTACAAAATTTAAATGATAACCCTACCCCCACCCCAAACAACTGCATTTACCTTAGCCATGACTTCTGGATCTGGTTCTTCCACAGGGTCAGCCCATTCAACTGTAACTACATTTCCCCATACTTTTACTTTTCCACTCATCAGCCGGCGTCTGGCTTGTGCTGCTGACTTGTGATCCTCATATTCAAGGAAGCAGAACCCCCGATTCTTCTTTTTGTCATCAGGTTGATGATAGAGAATAACGTCCACCAAACCCTCTGTTAAACCAACATCCAGATATATAAGCCAAAAGCATCCACCACACATCTAGCGATTAGGCAGACCTAAATCCACTTGCTGACGAGCAAAAAATAATTGGAGAAGCCTCAAAATAAGCCACCAATTACCTAGCAATCAGATCGGCATAATTAGTTATGGGGTTTGAGACAGTATTCCATGTTCCTTTTTGATTTTAGGGGTCCTAAAGGTACAGCCATACACTACAGGTCCAACTACTGTATTTTGACATTTAACATAGTACAGTGTTTTAGAGTATTTGATATAACGTGACCTCATAATTTATAAAAGGACTATCAAAGGACCTTAAAAACCAAATTAATATAAATCCAAGAGAACTTTCAACAACTAATCATGGCCAAAAATCTTCCTTGAATCTAACTTAAATGTTAGTGTTTTAGCAAGAATCAAAGTGATTGCTAAATATTAGTGTACCTCTGGTCTTAGTCCTTTGCCCTTGCCTCTCTCTATATATTCTATCTAGGTAATGTCAGCTAGCCCTACTTTTAAATACTATTTATACTCTCATAAATGTTTAGATTTTTATTTCTAGGCCAGACGTCTCCAAGCTCCAGATGTGCCTGTTTGCCTGACATATCCCTTTTGATGTCTTAGACACTTCAAATTTAACATGTCCAAAACTGCACAATGCCAAAAACTATCCCCTAGACTATTCCCTATAATTCCCTATCTAATAAACAGTGTCATCCACCCAGCTGTCAAGCCAGAAATCAATGAGACATTCTTCATTTCTTCCTTTACTTCATCTCCCCTATCCAATACCAAACCCATTTACTTCTATCTCTATTGCTATTATCCTAGTCCAATCTTTTATGTGAACTATGACAGCCTCAACTAATTTCCCAGCTTCTACGCTTGACCTCCTCTCCAAGTCTTTATCCATACAGCAGAAAGAATAATATTCTGTAAACATGAAACATGTTATTCTCTGCTTAAGACTTTCAAATACCTTCTCATTGTATATACAATAAAATCTAAACTCCTTACATAGTCTACAAAAGCCCTGCGTACTTCCTCTCATACAATTCTATTCTAACTCTACCTTTGAACAACATTGTCCTTCCCTCAGTTACTTTAATATACTGAATTTTTTCTTGCCTTGAAGCCTTGGCATAAGTTGTTCTCTTGGAATGCACTTCCTTTTGCTCTTTGTATGTTATATCCTCCACTCTTCCGGTCTTGATTGAAATGCCACCTTACCATAAAAACCTTCATAACTGTCAAAACAGGGATAGTAGGTATTCCCTAGCTAAACATCTTGCATTTCCTCATTCACAGTGCTTTATCACACTGTGTAAATATTTTAAAAATTTTTTTGCCTTATCTCCTTTCCCAGAATGTAGACTCTATGAGGGCAGAGAATAGGTCTCATCTACCACTGTATCTCGCACACAGCACAATGCCAGGACTTAACAGGCACTTTAATAAACATCAGCTAAAGGAATGCATAAGTGGACATGAAGCCAGAAAAGAGCTGGTAGATAATAAAAGAGTGATGAGGTCAAAGAACTGTGCCAGTAAGGGTATTTGACCAAAACAATTATAATGGGTAGTAGCAGTGGTTACAAAGTGGGATGCTAGAAATCAAGATTTCAGAGTGGGTAGAATTTCTGGTGACAAGATCCAGAAGGTAATCTGGATATGGTGGAGCTGCAGTAAAGAACTAGAGATGAGGTGATCACAGAACTAGGAGTCTAGAGTCTTGGATGGTTCATCTGCACAGATATTAAAGGTACTAAAGAACAAGTCGATTTAGGGCAGAAGAAGAAGACTATAAGCCAGAATCAATCTTCAGATTAATAAATAAAAGGATGAAACCAGAAGAGCAATAGATAACAGCTTTAAGGAAGGGGAAAAGAGAATATAACTGGATGACAAAAATGTAAATGAATAGTGGTTTTCACAAGGGGAGGCAGTGATGTAAAACAGTGTTTTTAAATCATAGGTAGTATCAGTGGATCTTGGCATTTCAAAAAATGAAATGGAATACAAAATAACAATAAATCATGTGCAATAAATGGAAGTATGGTTTTATTAAATTGTTTCAGTTATACATAAATGTACATAGACCTGTGATATAAAACGTTCTTCCAAATTAATTCCATGGACTTAGAATTGGAAATTGAAAAAAATCTAACCTAGACAAGGCAACAGGTAGAAGGAAGTAAGAACTTTCATCCTCTTGGCCCTAAGGTACACTGAACGTCAGGGAGAAAAAAGTCTTCACTTGAGGGCCACAGAGCAAAGGCTCTGGCAAAAACCAAGATTCAATTAAAACAAAGAAATGAATAGAACATTTAAGTAATTAAGGATATGAGAAAACTTGCTTAGTCCAAACCAGTATAAAACAGAAAGGAAGCAATTTAGTCATGGGAGACTTTAATTCTTAGTGTGATATACACCTCCCTATCTATCTATCTATCTATCTATCTATCTATCTATATATTTTAGCACTTATAAATAGTACAACAAATTCCCAAAATTAATTTTGAAATACATTTTTGTTTTACCTGTGACTTTACTGAATTCTTCCAGAATGTTTTCTTTAGTCTTATTCTTCGGAATGGATCCAACAAAAAGTCTGTTGTTTGCCACAGAAATGCACACTCCAAGGTGTTTACCAGGGCGAATTTCATAGCTGTCACACTGCAAGGAAGAAAAGAACCAGAGACCCCAAAACCACCCCAAACTCAGAACAACTGATCTTAATCTAAAACATTCAACAATTTAAGGCCGAATGCTCCCTGCTTCATGAACTCACCGAGTTCCCTCATGCTTGCCATAATATGAATGCATATTTTAAACTTCACTGTTATGGTCTCTTATTTTAATTTGGTTTTGTAAACCTTCACTGCCTTCCATATAAAAGGACTCAAAGTTATTCACTTTATTTTTTAAAATATCTTATTTCTGGGCCGGCCCGTGGCTCACTCGGGAGAGTGCAGTGCTGATAACACCAAGGCCCCGGGTTCGGATCCCACCTAGGGATGGCCAGTTCGCTCACTGGCTGAGCGTGGTGCTGACAACACCAAGCCAAGGGTTAAGATCCCCTTACCGGTCATCTTTTAAAAAAAAATAATAATTGGGGCCGGCCCGTGGCTCACTTGGTAGAGTGCGGTGCTAATAACACCAAGGCCCCAGGTTCGGATCCCACATAAGGATGGCCGGTTCGCTCACTGGCTGAACGTGGTGCTGACAACACCAAGTCAAGGGTTAAGATCCCCTTACCGGTCAAAAAAAAAAAAAAAAATAATAATAATAATAATAATAAAATAAAATAAATAAAATAAAATATCTTATTTCATATTTCAATTTTATCTGAAAGTTTTTTGCCAGAGATTTTCAGAAAAAGTACCTGAGACTAATCATTCAGGGTCCTTGGGGATGAAATTAGATATAGATGAGCCATAGTCAAAATAACAGTACATAGGGCCGGCCTGTGGCTCACTTGGTAGAGTGCAGTGCAGATAACACCAAGGCCACGGGTTCGGATCCCATATAGGGATGGCCGGTTTGCTCACTGGATGAGCATGGTGCTGACAACACCAAGTCAAGGGTTAAGATCCCCTTACCGGTCATCTTTTTAAAAAAAAAAAGAAAATAAATAAATAACAGTACATAAAGAGTAACAACTATGTTTAATCAATGTAAAAGAAATAGAAGAATTTCACATTCTACACAAAACATAAAATTCTAAATGTAGACATAAAGTTTTAAATTGTCTATTGAACACAATTCAAAATTTTATGAAAAAATAGGAATAAAAATAGGTAAATCACTATAGTGATGGTTTCCTTAATATATTTTAGCTTCTTGTGTTTTGATGTTACTTACCCATTAATTTGCTATAAGATATGATTATTAAAAAAATAAAATAAAATCACCCATATGTTGCCAAAAATAAGGAAATAAAGTTTGAAAATTTAATATTAAATAAGCAAGTTTAAAGGAAAAACCCATAATAAAAACTACAAGCTGGGTCAAGCTAGGAGTGGAACAAATTCAGAGCCCACTAATGAAACCAAAAGCCTTGGTGAAATGGATTATTAGTTCTAGAAGGGCTAGAACTAGACTAAGTGAGGACCTTAGATGTATGCCAAAAATGACAGTTTAAAATACTGAGTTAGGGGCCGGCCCGGTGGCGCAATGGGTAGTGCGCCGCTTGGGAAGCGCGGCGGCGCTCCTGCCCGAGGGTTCGGATCCCACATGCGG